CAGTGACTGTCTTGTGGTGTTTCCACTGGGCTTTCTTAAGGTGTGTCCAATCCATCGCCACTTTCTTAGTCCTATTTCTACTTCTATATCCTTTTGTCCTGTCCTTTCCCATAGCTCTTCATTTCTCTTTCCATCCTGCCACTTAATTCTTAGAATACTCCTCATACATTTGTTGATGAAAGTCTGGACGTTATTCAGTACTGTCTTTGTTGTCTTCCAAGTTTCGCAGCCGTAGAGGGGCACAGACTTGACGTTGGAGTAAAGTCTTGGTGCGCAGAGAGTTGTTGCTTGCTTTCCGGGCTTTTGATAATTGATTGAATGCTGACCTTGCCTTGGCGGTTCTTGCTTTAACATCTGCCTCATTCCACCTTTACCATCGATGACACTTCCAAGGTAGGTAAAAGAGTCCACTTCTTCAAGGGGAGTGGTTTCCACTGTCACAGCAGGGCTTAAAACTTTTCCTAGCTTCACTACTTTCGACTTGCCTGGATGTATACGTAGGTGGCCTTCACAAGCTTGACGATTTTGTCTGGTATTCCATAATGCCGAATGAATTTCCACAGAGTTTCCCTGTCCATGCTGTCAAACGCCTTTTCATAATTAAATGAAGTAGACCACGAGTGGTGAATTCCATTCAAGCGACTGCTCAACAATGATGATGCGCAGAGTAGCGATCTCGTCCACACATGATCGGTTTTTACGGAATCCTGCCTGGTTTCCTCGGAGCTTCTCATCTTTTCCCAGCTTGATTCTCTCCAGGAGTATCCTGTTAAAAAAGACTTTCCTAGGTATGGACAGGAGTGTTATGTCTCTGTAGTTGTTACAATTTCTGAGGTCTCTTTTCTTTGGCAGCTTGATTAGGTGGCCTTCCTTCCTGTCTGATGATATTTCCTCCTTTTGCCAAACCTTTTCAAATAGAGCATAGAAAATTTCAAATGATGTATCTTTATCTGCTTTAAGGGCTTCCGGTGGTACATGTTCGGGACCAGCTGCCTTGTCGGACTTTAGTGCTGCAATTTTCTCTCTCGGGTGTGGTTCCGTAACTATTGGGAGGTCATTTCTGGCTGGAAGAATTTCTGGTTGGTTTTCTGGAGGTGGTCTGTTCAAGAGTTGATCACAGTGATCTCTCCATCGGTTAAGTTGCCCTTCTGGGTTGAAGATAGTCTTTGTCTCTTTACTCTTTGTCTTTCACTGGTAGAGTGGGCTTGCTGAACCTATCTGAAAGAGTTTTTGTTGTCTGGTGTACAATCCGCAAGTGTCCGTCTGTTACTGCTTTCTCTGCCTTTTCGGCCTGGCCATTCAGGTAGGTATTATTGTCCTTCTTGGTGGAATTCTTTACTTCCCGGTTTACTTCAGTGCACTCTTGTTGTGCCGCGAGTTTCTCAGTTCGGGTACGACTGTTGTTGACTTGGGCCTTCAGTTCTCTTCTTCTGTTGACTTCCATTTGTGACCTTTGCATACCTTCTCAGTTTCAATTTCATCTTTCCAAGGATCAAATGGTGATCTGGTGCGACGTCTGCTCCTCGTATGACTCGGACGTCCTCCAGTGAGTGTCTAAACTTTCGAGAGATGCAAAATGGTCTATCTGGTTTTCCGTTGTTCCATCCGGGGAGACCCAAGTGGTCTTATGAATCCTTTATGTGGGAAAATTGTTACTCCAATAACAAAGTTGTTGAATGTACAGAAGTTTTGGAATCTTTCTCCGTTGTCATTTGCCTCTCATAATCCATGTCTGTCCATGATTTCCTCACATTGACTATTGTCCGAATATACCTTTGTATTTAGGTCTTTCATGACAATGTTGATGTCCTTACCTGGAAGTTTGTCGATCACACTCTGCCGGCGGTTGTAGAAGTCATCTTTATTCTCCTCTTCTGCGTCATTAGTTGGGGCACACGCTTGTATGATGTTCATATGTTTATGACCTTCTTCCTACCATCTCTTTCCTTGAGTTCATTCTTATTTCCAAAAGAGGCCATGATGATCCTTGGACCATGTGCTTTCCAGCTGTTTTGGATATGATCATCCCTACTCCTTCCCATGTATGCGCTTTGCAGCCATTTATATCCCAGCAGACCTTAGTACACTCATAAACATTCTCGGCATCCCGAAAAGTATATAATCGTAGTGCAAGAAACCGATTTAAGAGCTTAAGCACAAAGAAACAAACCCAAGATCTTTCGCTAGCCATGTGCCAATTCTCACCTGGGTGAAGTGAGTAAAATTATTTAACTTGTGTAAAGTACCTTTTCAGAGGGCACAACGTTGGGCCCTATAATAACGGGATTTGAATCCATGACCTTTCGGTTACGAGCCTGCCAGCCTAATCAACCAATCATTAGACTTGCACGGTTGGTCTAAGGGTGGTTGAGTTTAAACGAGGTCTTTACAATGATGGTCATATTGTCGGTGGCTCTCAAAGAAGTTATTGAGGACAGCACGGTATTCATCGTGATTGCAAATGTCGTGAACAAACCAACCCAGAGCATGGCTCTCCTTGTAGCGACCACTACTACTAATTACTGATGATTTATTTATTTTTGGTGGGGGTAACAGACAGACAGACAGACAGACAGACAGACAGACAGACAGACAGACAGACAGACAGACAGACAGACAGACAGACAGACAGACAGACAGACAGACAGACAGACAGACAGACAGACAGACAGACAGACAGACAGACAGACAGACGGAGAGAGAGAGAGAGAAAGAGAGGGAGAGAGAGAGCGAGAGAGAGCGAGAGAGAGAGCGAGAGAGAGCGAGAGAGAGCGAGAGAGAGAGAAAGAGAGAGAGAGGAAGAGAGAGAGAGAGAGAGAGAGAGAGAGAGAGAGAGAGAGAGAGAGAGAGAGAGAGAGAGAGAGAGAGGAAAAGAGAAATATATGATAATATGAACTAAAGAGCCCCACCAAATAAAAAAAATATTGTAGTAAAACGAGTTAACGGCATTCTTTTTTTTTTCTTCAAAATCAGCAATGCTGTTAAGACTAAACTTAGATTCATTTGAGAAGGTGTTCAATAAAATTCCTGTCAGCGTAAGGAAGCATTATCTGAGTCTCCTACTGTCAATACTTATTGGGTTAGCCTTTTATTTAGACATACGGTGTCCGAAAAGTAAACATTTAGGGAGGAATAATAAGTAGACGTGTACGGTACCGTGCTAGATTGCGCTTGAAACAGCCATTGTGATATTATTTTTTAAAGGGATTTTGTTGGGAATAAAATAAAATACAAGTTTTACATGTTCCGTCGATCTTTCATAAACTCATGCAGACAGCGATAGCTTGTATTACTATTTACTTGTAAGCATACATGTTTTTATAAATGCCAATCCTTTTTTAACGCATTTGTATTGATAATGCAAATATTACAACAAAAGGGTTAACTAATAGCTACATATTCTTCCCATTGTTTTGGCGTTCTGATTTCATAGAAGTAAGGCAACAATTATACATTCGAGTGTCATCAGTTGAATATGATTTTGAATTTCGGTACGATATAACTTTGTAAAATGTTAAGACCTATATAACGTTGTCTTATATCTAAATTTTGGTCACTCCATATGAGGAGTTTGAAAATAAAAGCTAAGACAGAAATTGAATTCGAGATCCTAGGTAAACTTGCAGAATTTCGTGGATATAGAAAGGAAAAGAAATTTAGTGAGGTAGTAGGCCTACTGAAAGAGGCGTGGAACCCGCCTCATTAATGAAAACAAACCAGGAAGAGCCAAAATGTAAACGCATGAGGCATTACCGACATAAAAGCTTTGAACATTTATGTTCACACACGAAAAAAATAGAAGGCCAGCGAACCTGGGGCAGACTCAGAGTGGCTTTTTTGAGCGGTCGCGGGTTGTTGTTTTTCGGGGGGGGGGGGGGA